TGGATGAAAGGAGGTGAGATGGGGGTGGGAAACTACGTGGATAACTTGGAGGCAGAGTGTTTTCAGGCAGTGAAAACAGTGCAAAGGCCCTGAGGCGGGAGTGCGTTGGTACGTTCCTGAAACAACAAAGGTCAGAGTGGCTACAGTTGACTAAACCTGGGGGAGAGAAGGAACAGGCAGGTAAAGGGGGTCTTAGGGGCCCTTGTGAAGACTTCAGGTTAATTCTGAGTGAAATGGAGAGCCGCGTAAGGGCTTGGAGCCAGCAGCGACAGGAATCCCAACTGGGTTTTCATCGGGTCGTTGAGTGATGCTGGAGTGTAGACCGAGAGAGCAGGTGTGGAAGCGGGAAGCCCCGTGGGCAGGGCGCGGAGTCACCGGCTCTAAGCTGCGCGGGGGTCTCCGTGCTTCCCGGCCCCTGGTCCTCTCGGCGAGAGCCTCGTCCTGCGGGCGCGGGGCGCGGGGCGCGGGGAGGGGCGCGCGGCGGCGGCGGCGGCGGCGGGCAGGCCCCGAGGGGCCCGGAGACAAAGGGCCGCGTCCTATAAAGGCAGCGGCGGCGGCGGCGGCGGCGGCGGCGGCGGCGGAGGCGCGCGTCCGGGCGAGGGCGCACACGGCCAGCGAGGCGGCGGCTCCCGGCTCCGCGAGGAGGTGCGTCGGCCCCGGGGGCGCGGGGGCCCGGAGGGCAGAGGACTCAGTGGAAGCCCTGGGGGGGCTCCGATGTCGGAGGGGGGGCGCGGCTCCGGGGGAGCAAAGCGATGCCCTGCGCGGTCGGCCAGGCCGCCCCACCTCGGTGGGTGCTGCTGGAGGTCCCCCCGCGGCTCCTGCCGGGGCCGCTGCGGCGGCGTCCCGTCCAGGTGAGCGACTCGCCCGCAGCTGCAGGTGCCCAGCTCCGCAGGTGCAGGTCCCCAGCTCCGCAGGTGGAGGTGCCGACTCCTCAGGTGCAGGTCCCCAGCTCCGCAGATGGAGGTGCCGACTCCGCAGGTGCAGGTGCCCAGCTCCGCAGGTGCAGGTCCCCAGCTCCGCAGATGGAGGTGCCGACTCCGCAGGTGCAGGTGCCCAGCTCCGCAGGTGCAGGTCCCCAGCTCCAGCCCGAGCTGCCCCCCCCCCCCCGCCGGGCGCTGCAGGCCAAGCGAAGAGTCGGGAAGTGAAGGGGCGAGGGCCGCAGGTGGGGCGGGGCGGGCAGAGGATTCAGGTGCACCAGGCGGGTGCCCACCCAAAGACTGCTTGCTACTCATGGGAAACGCATTTATTAGAACATCAGCATGCAGAGGTGTCTAATGAGGAAAGTAGTTTGCATAATAGCGTGTGTTCTGATATTTAAAGGACATATGTGTTATATATAAGGTACACACACCAGACTGGCTACTGCTGGGCCATCAGATTGAAGGTATAGATAGAGAACCTTCTGTGTTTTTACTTTATGCACCTACGGACAGCTCATTTGTTGGTTGTTTTGTTTTGTTTTTTCTTGGAAGAGCATGTGTTACTTCTGTACTGATTTCAAAAGGCAACGAACGCTATGCCCAGTGTGGGAGGTTAGGCATCTTCCCTTAACCTGTCTATGTAAATCACCTTTCTCTCTTTCTGGAGACTGTTTTCACTTATTTTCGAGAAAAAGATGGACGAAGAGACAAATACACATGACCAAATGAAAGAAGGAGGAATTTAAAGTCTTATGAACAAAGAGCCACATGAATCTGACTGCCTGGGACAGGCCACCGCAGGAATGTTAGCTGTGAGCCTGGGCTGCACCCTTTTCTTGTTGACCTAGGCTCTGTGTCCAGAGACCACTGTCACGGAAAAGCAGCAATCCCTATTGGGGGCATTGGCTACTTTCTGTGGGGGCATAATTGTCATTCTTATCTTTGGTAACCTGTTATCTTCAGTGAGGACAATATAAGAGAGGGAAGTTTGTGTCCAACTATATATATTCCTATTATATTTACCATTACATTCCCCCTGCCCAGGTGTTCCTAACCCCAGGTCCGTGACACCTATCCAACCGGAGGGATGTAAATAGAAATCAGGGGCTCTGTGTATTTGGATGGGGAGAATTTACATTTTTACTTCTAGTAACCTTTCATCTAAATTTAGCCTTTCCTTTATTTACAAATGTGGGTAATAAAAAGTAGTACAGGTGACAATGTCACCAACAAAAATCATAAATGCCTTCTTCTCACATATGTTGCAGATCTTTTGCTTACATATCATGGTGTAGAAATTATGGTAACAAGTCATTTAATGTGTTAAAAACAAAGCACATTACTACTATATTGCATTTTAAAATTATTTTAAGAATTATTGATAATGGATTATTTTTATATGCCTATGTATTTCAACTCATGCATTTAAAATAATTATTTTGAGACGGGAACCAAAAGCTTTTCACTTTGTGAAAATGATTTAAAATCATTGTCCTGGGATAGAGTCCTCCCCTAGACTTCCCCAGTCTGCCAAAAGAATCCATGCCACAAAAAGTTCATGTATCCTGACCCAGCAGGAGTCAGTGGTGACAAAGATGCATACATACAGAGGCATGAGACACAGGCCATGCCACCAATTCCCCGTGTGACCCAGGGACAGCATGCTTTACTTCTTTTTTGACATCTATCAGGTGTTTTCTGATTTTGCAGCATCTGGTGTATTTTTTTAAGCTCTTAAATTATTCTGAGATCAAGCTTAGCAGTAATCAGGCCTTACAACTGGAAAAACACTAAATGCAATTTACTTTGATTTAATAAGTAGTTCAGTAATTTTCCAGTGACCACTACTTTGAATTTTCCCAGCTTGTTAAAGACCTGATTTCTATTTCCCCCTGTGGAGAGTAACACCCTTGAGGCTAAATCAACAAGGCATTATTAAGCTCCTTCTAGGATGGCAGGCTACATTTCTGAAGCTGAAGCCCATCTTTTCCTCTCCTTATTTCCTCTGTCTGCTTCTAACACAATAGGATTGAGCCCTCTTAGAAGAGAACACCAGTTAGTTTATCCTGCTTAATCTTTCTCTTCCCAGCTTGAAAAGGACTACTACTGCCCCCCCACCCCCGCCCTGTCCCCCACACATAAGGAAGTAGAGTTGACTTAGTGAGCTAAACCCTCCTTTGACAAGAAAAGCTTGAAAGTAACTTTGCTCCTACAGTCCTGGCTGCAAAGCAGCCAGCCTCGTGGTGTAAACAAAACTGAATAGTTTTCTATCTAAAATCCCTTGATTTAGGTTCAAACTGTCATATTTTAGTTTTAGTTGGCTATAGTTCTGACGGCACTCATATTTTTCACTGCAGATGAAGGATTAGGTTATTTGGAAATGAGTTAGATCAAAGACTATTAATAGGCTGGGCACTGTGGCATTTTAGAGCAGAAAGAGGCCTTTGGGATCACCTAGTCCACCCCCTTCAGTTTGGAAGGACACATGGTATGCCGGGAAGGCCCCTAGAACACTTGGGTAGAAGCTGCTTCTGTGCTTTATAGCCCCTGTTTCGCTGTCCATTCACAAGACATTGGTTTCCCAGTATCCAGCAGCCAGTATAGTGTCAGACACATAGGGTCAGTAAGTGTTGTTACCTAAGCTCGGAGTGCATATGACTGTAATTGGATTATGGGTCCTACTAAGAATGTCTTCACAGAGAAAGGAAGTGGACCTGAGTGGCTGGTGGAGGGAGCCTGAGGCCAGCCAGTGAGCTTGGGCTGCCATGTTTTCTTACCACTGGGTTCTCAGCACAGCACCCAACCCAGATAGAAGCAGGAAAGGCCACAAGACCAGGGATGGAGAAATGTCCTGGGACCATACAGATGATTGAAAAATGCTATTCTTTGGAGTAATGACACTTATCATCTGTATAAGGAAGAGAATGCTTGTTATTTATTAAGCACCTTTATAGCAGGCACATAGTATCTCATTTATATATTATATACTTCACATAACATATTATTGAATCCTCACAAGGACCCTGATAATGGCTTCATTTCCATTTTCCAGAGAAGAAATTGAGGCTACAGAAGTTAACTGATTTTCTCAGAATCATATAACTAAGAAATTGGGAGCTGAAATTTAAAACCAGGTCTTTCTACATTAAAGCACATAAACTTTCTTAGTTTTTGCCTATTATGAAGCAAATAATATGTGAGACCTTTCTTGTTATAAAAATGTAAAATATTGGGGCAGCTGGGTGGTTCAGTGATTGAGCATCTGCTTTGGGCTCAGGTCTTGATCCTGGGGTCCTGGGATCAAATCCCACATTGGGCTCCCCACAGGGAGCCTGCTTCTCTCTCTGCCTGTGTCTCTGCCTCTCTCTGTGTGTCTCTCATGAATAAACAAATAAAATCCTTAAAAAATGTAAAATATTACCCAACTATAACAAATAAAACACACTCATCTTCTTTTTCTATCTTCCCCCAACCCACTGTCCTCCCTTAAGGAACTACTATCAACAGTTTGACCTGAATCCTTCCAGGTATTTTGCACACACACACACACACACACACACACACACACACACGTGCGCGCATGTCCATAGACATATAGAGAACAGACAAATACATAAATCAAGCTCAGACATTTTCTACTGCACGTAGCTTCTGTATCAGAAAAAAAATTTTTGCTAAGTTGCAATAAACATTTACTTTTCCCTGTTTTATTTGTAGAGATAGTGATTGTAATTGTCTAATATTTATTGACCACTTACTATGTGCCGAACACTTTGCTAAAATGGCTTACGTGGATCATTTTATGTGTCCTTACAGGTGGTGCCCTGAGTCCTTCTTTACTTATGAGGCGTTTGATACATAGAGAGTTTAAGTAGATTGCTCAGGGTCATACAGCTAAAGAGCAGAACCAAAAGCCAAAACAAGGTTCTGGCTCCGAAGCCTGTGTTCTTAACCACTGTGTAAGTGCTTCCATTGGCGACTGATCCCTGTAGGGTCAAGGCTTGGTGATAACAGTGACTTGTTCTAATTAATTGAGATCATCATTTGGTTCCTACAGAAGGGCAGAGATACCAGCACACAATGTAGTGAAATGACTTCTGGAATATGTCAGCGTCTCTTGGCCAATCCCGACAGTGTCTACAGTACTGTCACTACAACCAACACTGCTTGCGTATGTGTAGAGCATGAGTTAATGCACCAAAAAACAGTGCCTGGCACAAAGCAAATGCTCTGTTTGCTCTTATTTTCCTTAGTTTATAGTTCACAGAATGCTTTCACGTGTAGTATTCCATTTAATCCTTACAACAAGCTGTGAGGAAAGGATGGTATAATTACACCCGTCGTATAGCTGAGGAATTGAGGCTCAGGCTGGTGAAGTGACTTAGGCAGCGCCTCACAGCTGGTTAGTGTTTGGTGCTTTGACCAGAACACACACCCTTGGAGGGAGAAGGTGGCTTTTCCTCTATGTTGAACTCCTGCTGTACCTTCCTCCAGGATTACAGGGACCGGTGAGTGCACTGCTTCTTACCACACACAGTTTCCTATAGGGATGACGGGGTTCCTATTTCAAGAGTAGAGCACGGGTGCTCAATGTCCACCACACACTGAGATCACAGAGAGGTTTGTTTGCTGATATATCATCTACATTCCCATTAACACATGTTAATCCAAGCTGCCTGGGGTTGGAAAGGCAACCCAAGTGCAGGCTTGTGGAGGCCTGAATATCTTCCACAGCATCTATGGCAAATTGCCACCCTCACTTGCCCCTTGTCTTGTCTTCTTCTTACACCAAATATCCCCACTTCTGTTTTTCATACAATAGGGTTTCACAACTCTTCATCACTCTGTTCACCCTCCTCTAATTGTGGTCCAGTCTGGATATTTTAGATTTTGCACAGTGAGGCCCAACCCTCCAGGTGAGGTCTGCCGTCTAAGAGGAGAGCTGTGTTAATGTCCTCATTCCTCAAATTATCATATTAGTGAAGCCTAGGGTTAGAGCTTTTATTTTTTGAGAATTCATATTTAACTCCCTGTTGGCTGACTATATATTTTGTTTGCACAGTACTAAATCCTATGCTATGTCTGATTCTGAACAGTTATGAAGAGTTGGTTCCAAAGGAAGTAGTGGGGTTACTGGGTGGGATAAAACCACCTTGTGATGGAGGCTCCAGAACAGGGAGGGAGAAAAAGGCTGAAGGGTATTGTTCTGACCCTATCCCTTCTTCTGCCACATTTTCTTCCGTTGTCAAAAGGAAGATTAAAAAAAAAAAAAAAAGGAAAAACAAAAGCCACCATCACCAACAACCCCCCCCCCCAAAAAAAAACCCACAAACCTAAAAATGAGGAAGTGGAATTTCCTAAAACCTGGTTCAAAAAGATCTAACATCTCAAATTCTTGGCAGGACAGGTGATACCCACCGTCTCTTACAAAGTACTGGGCCCTTTCTCTTTCCTGTCTCAGGACGTCAAACATGACCAGGAAGATCTTCACCAACACCAGGGAGCGGTGGAGGCAGCAGAATGTCAACAGTGCCTTTGCCAAGCTGAGGAAGCTCATCCCCACTCACCCTCCAGACAAAAAGCTAAGCAAAAATGAAACACTTCGCCTGGCAATGAGATATATCAACTTCCTGGTCAAGGTTTTAGGGGAGCAAACCCTGCAGCAAACGGGAGTGGCTGCTCAGGGAAACATTCTGGGACTCTTCCCCCAAGGATCCCACCTGCCGGACAGGACTCTCCTTGGTGACTACCAGGTTCCTTCACTTGACCCAAGCCCCAACGTTGTGTAATGGGGCTCTGGCCGTAATCACCCAGGGCAGCACTTGCTCAGAAGCCACTGGCCGTCGACAGCCTTTTGCATGTTCTGGTATCAACTTGATGAATAATTTGTGAGGCATGAATTTAAGTTCCACAGGAGGAGGCTCAGGGACAGCTGAGCCGGAAAGGGGCCATGAGGCTTTGGAGTCTGCCACCAGCCCGGGGCCTTTCAGGCAGAGCAACCCACCTCTATTTTATTTATCCAGGATCTGCATAAGATGTTGTTTGTGGGGGGAAAAAAAAAGAAAAAAGAAGGAGAAAAACATAAGTTAAAAACAGGTTTGAAAACCAACGCTTTACTCAATTTGTTTTCAATTACAAGGAAGGAGTTTTCTCATAACAGATCTCAGATGGATGAGTAGAAAATGCTTCCCTCGAAATGTATTTTAAAGTTTGTTTTGAAAAATGAGATATATGTGATGGAGGGTGAATGAAATAAGGTTGATGAATGTGAAGACAACCCTCATGGAAACCAACATGAACTCCCTGCCGAAGTTCAGGGAAAAGACCCTCCTGACCTGTGAGGATTACAGGAACATGGCCAATACATGTGGAAGAGCTCTGTATCCCTTATCCCCGTGGAAATACGAAGTGTTGCCTGTGTTGAGCCATTTATATATGTGTTATCTCTAAAGCCAAAAGGTGGATTATATCTGTGAGAGGAAAGGACTTGATAATTTATGAAGTAGAGTTCATAGTTTTCTTATGAAAAACAGCTGAACTAGGTTATCTAAACCCTTAGTTGCACATGTCAGACATTAAAACTTTTCATTCAGCCTGAGTTTCTGCTATTTAAGACCTGTAAAATTCAAATATAATTATGAAAATCCAAATATTACCATTTAACGACTCATTTGACAGCTTAGTTTAAACAAAAGATCTAGAGTAGACAATAGGAATGTAATACCAGACTTTAATGAATTAATGAATTTGTAATTTGTCTTCCTTGCTATGGAGCATTAGCTCAATCCTATGCTGGGAGGGGTTGTACCCACTAGTCAATGAAACAGTGTGGATCTGGCAAAAGTACTCACAACCATGTGCCACCCTGATGATTGGATTCAAAGATGGATTCAAAGATGAATCCCATAGCTGAGCCCAGAATACAAATAATAGCATTTGATGGTCTCTGGGACATTTGATTTCCCTAAAGTTCTTGACATAGCCTTGGTTTTAAAACCTTCTGAACCACAGGTAGGAAATTGATGGATTTGCAATTATGGATTTTCAGTGTGTACACAACAGAGGAATTTAAATTTCCTGCTACTCTAGAAAGAAGATATTGACTTATGGAAGGTTGAAGCGAGCTTCTTTGGTTTGGTGATCAGAAAAAAGCTCAATGAGGCTTCCTCAGATTCTTATTCCCCCCAGATAGCAAGGTCATAATGTCATTGACATCTATACAGCATTTACACTCGTAGCCCAGTGCATTTCTCCAAACAATATTTTCCTTCTAGGTCCTTTAAACTGCATTCTGTACACTTCCTATGGGTCCAGAATAGTCCAGGGAAACACATACACACCAATTCTAGGAGCCTTCCTCTGAATGTGCATTTCTTTCTATGAGGTGATGTGGACTTAAATTTGTCCCCAAACTAACTGATAGTACAGCTCAAAGCTTTGATGACAGTTGTCAATCAAACACTACTTACTCTCTCATCTGGCATTAAATCAAAATAACACTTTTGACAGCGTTTTTAAAATTAGCTTCATATTAACATGTTGCTGAGGAAGGCACAGAGGACCTCTTTGCCTGAATGCAGGATTTTGCTGCTCTCCTCAGAATGAATGCCCCCTTTTCTGCTATTGGAGCCACGTCTGTGTGTACAGGGGGCTTTTCCACTGACGTGTAAGAGGGTGCTTCTGAAAAGTCGTGAGGAGATTGAGTTATCACTAAACTATATGAGGGGGATAATGACTTAAAGAAACTGCAGGAGATTCCATTGATAAATGAATAAACAGTTAAAATACTACTTGATCTAATTCACCTCTTATTTTGTGAGCTTAGGTTTTGGTATATCAGGTTGTGTTGGGTTAAAGTGACTGTCAAAAGGAATTGTAGGTACACATAGACCAAAACCTTTAGCAAGGTATCCATGAGACTGGAAGCTAATTAAAAAGTTACTCTGTAGTCTTCCTTGGTGTCTTATAGTCAAGGCTTGGTAATTGCAGTAGTAAGAATATATGGTTAAAATACATTAGAGCTCACCGATGGCATATCTCTTTATGGATCATTTGAACCAAACAGAAAAGTTTAGACAGATTATGCCATTTATGCTACTCTGTTACTTGAAAAAAATGTTCAGTCTCCTGTGGGCACTGGAAACTTCTGGAAACCAGGTCACTGATTTATATAGATCATTAGATTGGCTAGTTTTACTCCTCAATTTACAGAGGAGAAAACAGGACCAGAGTGTTCTGAAGTGGCCTTCGGAGGTCCCATGGACAGTTAGTGCTTGATTTCCTGACTCTGTGTCCAACCTTTCTACAGCCCTGTTCACCCTCTAAGTATTTTAGGATTGAAAATGGATAAGCACCTTATTGCTATGCTCTTTTCAACAGCATTCGGTAATCTTCATATACCTTTTAATTGAAATTGAATTAATGTGCTTTATAGAATGTGATTAGATGTATTAACCAAAGATTTTTTTTTTGTTAACGTGTTTTGTGCGTTTTTAACATTGGGCTTGCTATTTAACTATTAATTTATTGCAAATAAATTATTTAAGAAAAGAAATTGTTCTTTAAAAAAAAAGAATTTCATAAATTTACTAAGCACTGCTCTCTTCATTCTTACAGCTTTTGGCTCTCAGCCCCTCCCCCATCATTGTCTTTAGTCTAGAAAAAAAATCTAGCATCCCCTGGTTAGTCTTTCTCTCCTCTCCCTTTGTCTCTCTCTCTACCTCTGGCTCTCTCTTCATTTTACCTTTCACACAGCTCCCTCATTATCCTTCTCAAACCATTGCTGTGGTCAGATCACTCCCTAGCTATCAAACCTTCAGTGTCTTGTCCACCAGACCGAGACAAGTGCCTTACTCCAGGCCCTCTGCAGCCTGGTCCTTCCTTGTATCTTCCACAATCCCCTAAGTAGGTTGTACATGCTAGGGGATTCCTGGGTGGCTCGGCGGTTTGGCGCCTGCCTTTGGCACAGGGCTCGATCCTGGAGTTCCGGGATCAAGTCCTGCGTTGGGCTCCCAGCATGGAACCTGCTTCTCCCTCCTCCTGTGTCTCTGCCTCTCTCTTCCTCTCTCTACATCTATCATGAATAAATAAATAAATAAATCTTAAAAAAAAAGATTGTACATGCTAATGAAACTGCCTCACTCCACACATGTCCTACTTCTTAATACTTCTGAGTTTTCTCTTATAATTTCACTTGCATGCATGAATGTTCTTATTCTCTCTCGTTCTACTCCTCCACCTGCTCCAAATTCCACCCACTAACATCTTTCATGACTGATCTTAAACACCACTCCTTCACAAACCTTGACTCCTCTTTTTTTTTTAAAGACTTTTATTTATTTATTCATGAGACACACACAGAGAGAGAGAGGCAGAGACACAGGCAGAGACAGAAGCAGGCTCCACACAGGGAGCCCGATGTGGGACTTGATCAGGGGTCTCCAGGATCATGCCCTGGGCTGAAGGCAGGCGCTAAACCGCTGAGCCACCCAGGGATCCCCCCTTGACTCCTCTTAAACACCATCTCTTACACAAAGTCCTCCTAGATTTCCACCATTCTATTGAAACTTTCCTTTCTTAGAATCCCCCTTTGTGCTTCCTGACCCTGACTTCCTCTACTCTATGGTTACAAATATTGGTGTATAGCCTGTCCCCCTTCTCCAGTAAGCTTAAGATTTCCTCAAGAAAAGGGGTAGTTTCTAACTTTTACTCCTCACCACAGCCCTGCAAGAGACCTCATTTTCAAAATGAGAAAACTGTATCAAGACTGTCCCTGTTAAGAAGGCAGCCTCCCCTAAAAGAGGACACAAATGAAACTTGGATAGGCTGAATTTTCCTGAAAACCCCAAAGTCTAATGCTTTTCTTAAAAGCATCGTTTCTCATCATTTCTATTCTACATGCAGCACCTGCCTTAGGAAGTATCACCACCTAAGAATGGCTTGAGATGGGCGAAATATGTATAAGTTATGCACAACTGGCTTTGTCCTTAAAAAGGCAAAAGATGAAAGGAGTCTGGGAGAATGGACAGCTTAACTGCTGACCCACAGGCCAAAGGTTAGTTAAAAGTCACATCCTTAAATAAAAAGGTCAAAGATAAGGAGGGAATCTAAAAGTCCAATGGCAATGCAAAGCGAGGGATTTAAAGTGGCAGGTGTCAGAAAGGAATGCCAAGGAATGAATGCATTCAAAGGATTGCAGGAAGCTGGGGGTGGGCGTGGGGGCACAGTCTCCTAAACCACTTTCACTTCTGTGATTGTTGGGTGTACCATAAATAGGGAAACTTTTCTTTTTTTTCTTTCTCTTTCTTTCTAATGACTTATCACAGACTTAAAGAGCACTAGATTTTAACATAAATATACATAAATTTAGGTTTGCAATCTGCCAAATAAATTTAAGAATTTAATATCCAGAGTTCAAGAATTCCCTGGTAGTCAAGTGAAGCGAACTGTCGAATTGAATTTTCTTTTTCTGGATAACTCTGAAAAAAACAGGATTATCATCCAATATGTCCATATGCTTCAACCTAAGTAATTATCCTTCTAGAACCTATCATAAATAATTAATCAGAATTATGGCCAAAGAAGTATGTACATGGATCTCTATTTCAGAATTTCACAATGTACATAAAACTATAATAATAAGAGTAAGAGCTAAGAGTCATTGGGTGCTTCCTTGACTGCCAAGGCATCCTGCCAAGAGCTTCCAGTGTATCAGCCCACCTAATCTTCATAACAATGCTGTATTGTTAACATTATATTAATTATGTGTGTTATTCTCACTTCACAGATGAAGAAACTGAAGTTTAGGAGACTATTTATCTTGCTCACATTTCCACTGCAGAGTCAGAATTTGGCCCCAGTCATTTTTATTCAAAATTACTGCTTTTCACAGACAGATTTTGTGTGTGTGTCAAAATTCTTAATTCCTTTTGTATTTTTAAATTTAAAAAATTGTCCTTTAAATTGAACTATAGTTGACACACAATGTTGCATTAGTTTCAGGTGTGGGAATTCTTTTTATTTTTTTAAATTTATTAAAAATTATTTTTAATTTAAATTCAATTTAGTTAACATATTCTGTATTATTAGTTTCAGAGTAGAATTTAGTAATTCATCAGTTGCATATAACACCCAGTGCTCATTTCCTCAACGGCCCTCCTTAATGCCCATCACGCAGTTACCCTCCCAATTCCACTCCAGCAACCCTGTTTATTTCCTATAGTTAAGAGTCTCTTATGGTTTATCTCCCTTTCTGTTTTTACCTTATTTTCTTTTTCCTTCCCTTCCTCTCTGTTCCTCTGTTTTGTTTCTTAAATTATACATATGAGTGAAATCATTTGGTATTTCTCTGATTTATTTTGCTTAACGTAATACCCTCTAGTTTCATCCACATTTCATTGCAAATGGCAATGCCAAGATTTCATTCATTCTGATGGTGAGTTATATACATATATATATAACATATATATGGACTTATATATATATTCATATGTATATGAACAAATATATAAATGGATAAAGAAGAGTTGACTATATATATATGTTATATATATATATATATATAGTCTCTCTCTTTATTCATATATCTGTCAATGGACATCTGGGCTCTTCCATAGTTTAGCTATTGTGGACATTGCTGCTATAAACATCGGGGTGCATGTACCCCTTTGAATCACTATTTTTGTATCCTTTGGATAAATATCAGGTGTGGGAATTCTTAATATTTTAAATCCTGACCACTTTAATGGAACATCATGGAGCAGACATATTACCCAATAACACTATTGGGTAATCAGACACAACCTTGAAAAACAAAGTCCTCCTGTTTAAAAGCACCAAGTTGGGGGTAATCCCACAGCAAGACACTTTGAGGACACTGTCCTGCAGAGGCAGGCTTGAAAGTGAGCCTGCAGGAGCAACTGTTAGTTGCTCTGTTTAGACTCTGCTTCCCGCTTCCACCTTGGCTTGAGCATGAACTATGGTTCAGAGCATTTGTTCTTGTGAGTGTGTCTGTGCATGTGCTTGCATGCACACGACAGGAAATCTACTCCTCCACATCTACCTGTCCTTCTCCTGTTTTTAGCTCCTCTGCAGTTGAGGAGGAAGAAGAGTGTCTAAGGAAATGGACAGTATTTTTCTTCATTGGATATGGGATTGCATTTTCTTCCTATATTCAGTTTAGACTATTCATATCAATTCTAACTAGTGATACAAATCAGGTTTAAAAACACTGTGGAAGAGCAAAGAATTAAATCTCTTGGATTCAGCAGGACTCTACTTTGCACATAGTCTTAGGGACACTGTGACCCTCTCCCCACTCTGGGAGAAGTGGAGTGCTGTGCTGAATATTTAGCATCTGCTCCAGCAGTCAGGTCACTACAGGGTATTTTTTTTTTATATATCTTTCACTAAATAAACGAAGACTTAATTTTACCTTATGGTGTGTGTATGTGTGCATGTGAACACAAGTATATGTGTGCACATGTTCTCTTTCCACCAACCAGTAACATACCTGAGAGCATACAATTGTGGCAGCAATTGGGAGACATCACATCTCATATGGGCACTGCAGAAAGAATGAGTTTTGAAGGATTTAACAGTGGTGACTGGAAAATATGTGGAAAGGGATGGGCTAATCAGTTATTGAGACCATTGGGTCTCTAAGAGAAGTTTAGAGAGGTTGTCATATCAGTCACATCTTTTGGCCTTCCCTTCAGCTCCTTTCAATTTGGACTAATAAGTAACTAGATAAGGTTAAAGCTGAGGATCTGTTGGTGTAAGATCCAGTTTCTTGGTGTCTCTTTAATACTCTACCCAAGGAGGTAGATGTCGAGCACAACATCTATGTGATCACAGAGGTCACAAAATGAGCCAAATCCATAGGGAGGAAGGAGCCTGGGATAGGAACTGTAGCCAGGGGTCCTCGGATGTCCCAGTCTTATCACATGGTAACATTCTGGATGGGACAGGCCTCAGAGATGCCCCTAGACTAAGCATCATTGACTTTCTGAACAAAAACTGGGTACATATTTAGCTTTTAAGCAGTATGTCAGAGGAGAACCCCAAATGTCCTGAGTTTACTTTCCCTGCACGAGTAGATTTAAAAAGGAGAGGAGAGGGCTGCTGAGGACAAAACAATCAAATAAACAAAACAAACAAGAAAATACAGTGTTTGTCAAATTGAGATCTGAATCTTCTCAAAAGCTTTACCCTTGGAGCCCTTATTTGGGCATATTGTAAAATATTTTGGAGTCAAATTAGTTTTCAGAAGATGGTCATATACATAGTTGAAAAGAGAACTTTCTAAGCAAAAGTATAAAGTACAAAATTTTGATGCATAAACATCTTTTATTTTCAGTACTTCTGCTTAAAGAATAAATGTTTGTTACCCAGTGAGATAAAATGTTTAAATGGATAGGCTAGGCTGTGTAAAACATTAAAAAGCTATACATTTTATCTTTTGTGGTTATAAGTATCCTA